GAAAATACAAACTGAGATGTCAGCTCCCCTAGATGTAACTGCATATGACTCTGTGTGGGTTTTTGTTTTGTTTTGTTTTGTTTTGTTTTTGTTTTTAAGAGATTTTTGCTATATGGCATGTGAATTTGCCGAAGAGAGAGACAGACAGACAGAGAGGGAAAGCAAGAAATCACCCTGCAGGAGGATGTCCACACCACAATCCCTTTTCCTCTGTTCTCTCAGGATTTTGGGCACACATGCATACTCATCCAGTGCGAGTTTTAAGCCACTGGGTCCAGACTCGAATCGCAGTCAACTATGTGGCAGTTGAGCAATGTAACCATTATACCATCTGCTTGTCCCAGACTCTGTGTTCTGATTAAACCACAAACTCTTTGGGAGTAAAGACAGTGGTTCTTTTCAATAGTGTTTGGCTCATGGTAGGACTTCAATAAATATTTGCTGAACCAATGTAAAGCTTATTACTCTTATTCTAAGAAATTCAGTACTTGCAGTAATTAAGTACATTATGCATATGATGATTACTAAGGGAAAAATACTGAAATTATTTTGGTCATTTCATAATATATAATTTCTGCTTTCTAGAAAAACTATCCCTTTATACATTACAAAAAAAATACTGTATGATCTAGCAGTTTCTATTTTGCTCATTAATAGCTATTTATAATGTATCTGTTAAAGTATATACAATAATTAATTAACAAAATGCAATTAAAACCATTTAATTCATAAGTATCATGATTCAGATTGGGTATTCCTTTCCCTTACTTTATTGTTAAATGAACAAGTTTACACACTTGTTTTTAAGTCCCTTTGAAAATTTCTAAATAGTTTAGATTTGGCATATATTTTAATCTCTCCAATAGCCACTACACACTTTTGTAGCAACAAAAAGGGAGGGGGGAAGAAGGGCAGAGGGGCAATTGAGTCGGTGATTCCAGAAGACATCATCTAAAGAGGTGAGGCTTGGACCAACGTGTTTCGGTTAACCATTTCCAGGTCACGGTTATCCAATGAAACCAAACCCAGCACTCATTTTCGAGGCGCCTTGGACTTCGGCCTAGGAAGTCCTGAGTATGGACAGTGGTCCTCCAGGGCTGCCTCAAAACTCCTGATAAAAGAGTGAAAATTTGGGGTAGATTGACCACATTCATTGCCAGGTTAAGGTCAAGGAACTCTAAATGCGGTCCTTTTTGCACAGCAGCAAAAAGGTGCAGTTTAACCCCTAGTGGCCCTTTCCTCTGATGGGACTGAAAGCCGTCTCATCTCCCACTTTCTTCCGCTGCAGTAGCCAGGGAAAACACCAAAGGTTTATACTGCGACGCTAAAAGCGAAGTGGAAGACAGGCAACACTCAATAGCTCTAGTACCAAGGAGGCCTACGCTTCAGCCCCTCTGGGAGACCCCAGGCGCCCCAGACCTCGCTGCACCTGCTGCGGGAGAGCTCGCGGCAGCACAGCGTCCCAAGCTGGCAGGCGAGGACACGCAACGCAAGGACGTGCGGTGACACTTTCTGCAAGGGGTCCCGACAGATCACAGCAATCCCAGCAGTCTCCCTGCACCAGTAGGAGAAGGGGTCGCGCAACCTCTCCTAAAAGCGGCCCACCCTCGCCCCGATATTCGCCTCGATATTCGCCTCATATGCCCTCCCAAGCTCAGAACGAGGAGACACCCTCGAGGGCTCGAACCCGCAGCGGGAGTGAAGGAAGCGTTACTGGGCTTGGTGCCCGATGCAGACATTTCTGCACCGAGGACCGCACTCACCGAACCCCGGGACTAAGCGGGAGCTAAGCCGGGTCGTGAAAGCGGCTGTCAACGCGTGACCCGGAAGCAAAAGTTGCCGGCAGCTGGTCCCTCTGCTTACAGGACAGGAAGACCGACTAGGATGGGCACCTGCGCACTGACCAGTGCGGGTGAGCAGGAGGCGCATGCGCAGACATGTGATGCAGCCTCGGTCCTAGGGCGGCCTGGTTAACGGGTTTCTTCCTCCGATAGCCCAGAGCACTTGTGCGCAGGCGCAGTCTGGTGCTCTCGGCCGTAGCGCAGTGCCTCGGAAGTGCGTCCTGCGTTAGTGTAAAAAACTCACGAACTCTGGCCGTTCGACCGATTATGTACTGCCGCGTCTGCGTGCAACAAACCTGCAGTGCGTCCTGCCCACTTCCTTCCTCTGCCTCCCACAGTACCCATCTCATATCAGGCCTGGGCACCTCATTCCCAGGTTATTCCCAAACTTGCTAAGGTAAACGCCGCTTTTGTCTGCTAAATTCACACTGGATCAGTTGCGCAGAAATGTAAACTTAGTAAGAAGTGCCTTTGTCAAACAAAAAGCACGTCTAGCATTCATAATGTTGGACTTAATCTTTGTTCATTAGAATTCTCCTGAATATCGTCCACCCTTTTTTTTTTTAAAAAGAATTATTTTATTTAGCTGTATTTGTTACTGTTTTCCAGCTTGATCAGAGAGAGACAGAAAGGGAAAGTGAGAAAGCAAGCCACCAGGTCCGAGACTCAAACCACAGCTGGCCATATGGGAGTCCAGCACCCTTAACCACCATGCTGCCTGCCAACTTCTCCACCCTCCTTTAAAATGAACTACGTAACGACAAACACGATCACCCAGGAGGTGAATAGTATTCCAAATGTTGAGAACTAAAGCTACCTGCTGACAATAATGTTCCCGCTCAGTGAGACGCTGGCACCTCTGAGTAAGCACTTTCTGTGTAAAGCAAACACTTCTAAGTCAGCAAGTCATGAGGATGCATGTAAAGAGTGAAGCAGCTCACACCTGTGCCCGTGCTGTGTCCTAGACATGCTTCGTTTTACCACCTTGGCCTGTTTAACCCAGAATGCTTGGCATTCCCTGAAGTTTACTACAAGCATCTAAGTAGTTCGAAATCAAAGTAGGCTCAGAACAGTTCATGTACATCAGTGAGGGGATGGCAAACTGAGTTAAACTATTTTGGCCTAAAACGGCTGTTGTACTCCCACACTTAAATTCCTATACATAAACCAATATTGTACATATTAGGCTGTTTTCCTATCTGGTTGTTAAGTTATCGCCAATCATACTAGCCATACTTCAGTCAATCACAAAAAGCCGACTTTTTGGACTGTTTTGTACTGCCTTCCTGTACCTGTAACCAATCCAGTTGTTTCTCTACCTCATTCCTTCACTTGTGTTTTCCCACATCATTTTCCCTTTTCTAAAACTTAAATACCAAGTAGTCCACAAGGTTAGCCAGAATTATCCAAAAGTCCAGAGACGACTGCCCAATTTAAATCATATTAAAATTTACTCAATTAAAACTCTATTAAATTGACTGGTGTACTTTTCTTTTAACAACTGAAAGTTCATAACCTGAGGAGTGAGCCTCCTCTGATTTCTAACTCAAAGGAACTTTGCCATGCAAGAATGCATCCCCCAACTCCGGGCATCGCCATGGGGAATTGTCCAATTTTCCAAAAGAAGCTGAAATCCAGATTTTTTAAAAAGTGAAGGTTGTGTGATAGTTAGGAGCGCTGGATTCCCACATGGCTGACCACGGTTTGAGTCGTGAACCCGGCGGCTTGGATTCTTGCTTTCTTTTTCTCTCTCTGTCTCTGGCTAGTCAAATTAAAAAAAAATAAGAATAACAAATGGAATTCAATAAATAATTATTTGTGAATTCATCTATATTGAAAATGTTAGCAGTTTCTTTTTTAATTTTACAGGATCATTTTCATTTTTATCTATTTTTAAAAGATCACTTAAAATATTTGTTTTATTCATTATCATAATTATTATTTTCAGTTTGCTATAGGGCATGTGCACTCACCAGAGAGAGACAAAGAGAGGGAAAGTAAGAAATCAAGCCACCTCATCCAGGACCCAAAACATGGTCAACAATGGAGAAGTCCAGTGCTCCAACCACTGCACCATCCACTGGCCCCAATGGATATATATATATATTTTCAGTTTGTTTTATTCATTATCATAATTATTATTTTCAGTTTGCTATAGGGCATGTGCACTCACCAGAGAGAGACAAAGAGAGGGAAAGTAAGAAATCAAGCCACCTCATCCAGGACCCAAAACATGGTCAACAATGGAGAAGTCCAGTGCTCCAACCACTGCACCATCCACTGGCCCCAATGGATATATATATATATTTTCAGTTATTTTATTTTAACTTTATTTGTTATTATTTTCCAATTTGACCAGTGAGAAACAGAGAGAGAGAGAGAGAGAGAGAGAGAGGGAAAGTGAAGAAAGGAAGCCACCAGGTCTGGGATTTGAATCATGGTTGGCCATGTGGGAGTCCAGCGCCTTTAACTACTATGCCACCTGCTGGCCCCTATTTTTTTATTTATTTATTTTTTTTAGAGATTTTTGCTATAGAGCATTTTTCTCTTGCCAAAGGCACAGAGAAAGACAGAGAGACAGAAAGTGAGAAATCATCCCCCGTTTGGGGATGGCCACACTGCAATCCCTTTCTTTCATTTTATGCCATCTTCTGGTCCCTCTTTTTTTTTTTTTTTTTTTTTTTTTAGAAATTTTTGCTATAGGGCACATATGCTCACTGGAGAGACAGAGAGAGAAATCATCCCCAGGGAGGATGGCTATAATACCTTCTTCTCCATTCTCCTCTCGGGATCTTGAGCACGCATGCATACGCACCCATCATGAGTTTGAAGCCTAGGATTTTAACTGAGGTCGAATATGTGGGAGTGCAGCGATGTAACCATTATGCCATCTGCTGGTCCCAAGGCTCATTGAAAAAAATTATTTATTTAATTTTATTTGTCATTATTGTCATTATTTTAAAATTTGCTACAGGGCACACACACTCACCAGAGAGAGAGAAAGTGAGAAGGCAAGGTTGGGGGCTGCTGCTAGATCTGGGACTAAAACCATGGTCAGTCATGTGGGATTCCAATGCCTCAACTACCAAACCACCTGCCAGCCCCAAAAGGATCATTTTTTAAAAGCAGGCAACAGGCCTCCTCTTCCAGACTCTGCATCATTAACAAATCTGTAGAAGAATTTCTGGCTAGTCCTCTCTTGAGAGGAGGTCTGGAGGGTTGACTTGAAGCTGTAGTTACATAGTAACCACATTATTTTTATTTAATTCATAGATTTAGTCTGGAAAGTTCTATAGAATCTGAATGAGATTACATGGAGGCTCTCTACCCCAATTCCTCAAGCCATTCTAACGCCTTGGTTCAAATTCAATGAATGGAAACAGTTTGATTCTTACCCGCTGCTTCTATGCCAGTGACTTAAGGAATATTAAACTCCAAATACAGATCGTAAATATACCTGAGTTAGTGCTGATCCAAAATAGGAAATGTATTCTGAGAATGTAACTCCTTCCTATTTACCAGCAGGGAAAAATCCCAGAAAAAAAAATAAAGCCACCTACAAAACTTAACCTCGTTCTAATCATTTCCTCTCAAACTCCCAGAGACCGAACCTCATTCTAAGCATTTCCTCTCAAACTCCCATCCCTGTGTCTAGAACTATGTGACTCACATCAATAGCCCAAAGATACATTCTCTCCTGAACACCGTTGCATCCTACTTGGCTAGGTGATTACAAGACTTGAGACAGAGATGTAATACATTCTATTCCATGATGTTGTGGGCTCAGGCTTGCCATCACCTTTTCTCTAGATCTGCTTGGCATTGCCCAGAATGCTCTCAAAGTAGAGAACAAGAGGGAACCAGCAGTTAGCGTAATGGCTATGTCGCTGGACTCCCACGTAGTCGACCACGGTTCGTGTCCCAGACCCAGTGACTTAGAACTCACGCCGGATGCGTGTGCGTGCGTGCCCAAGATCCCGCCAAGAGGAGAAGGGATTGTGGCGTGACCATCCCCTCTGGGGGGTGATTTCTCGCTTTCTGTCTCTATGTCTCTCTCTGTCTGTCTGGCGAGCGCACGCGCCCTATGGCAAAAACCTCTCCAAAAAAAAAAAGTAGAGAGCAAGACTGAATCTTTGGCTTCATTTTACTAAGCCTAGCTTTAGTGGGTTCACTGCCCAAAAAAGCAGGTCCTCCTCTGTACACTGCAGAGATGAGAGAGCCAAAGTGCCTAGCAAAGGAAAATATTGCCCTTGAAGGGTGGCATCCATCCCTTCTCTGAGGTCCCATGCCTTGGAAGCTCTTGCTCAATATGTGCCAACTAGGGTGGTAGAAAGGATGCAAGAAAAGAGTACCTAGACCAAGGGTTTAGTTCTGACTCTGAGATTGAACAGTTTCTTATTCCATTTCTCTGGGTACCTTTTTTTTTTTTTTTTTGTAAAGTGAGAGCATGGGCTGAAATGATCTCTAAGTATCTATTTCTGTAAATTCACATTCTGATTTATTCCTAAGCAAAAATTCTTCATTCTAAAATTTTTACTCTCTAGTATAAATATGAACACTTTTATGACTATCCTAATACTACAATATTTAAATTTTTTTGAAGAGGTTTTTGCTATAGGGCACATGCGCTCTCCAGAAAGACAGAGAGACAGAAAGTGAGAAGTTACCCCCCCCCCCCAGGAGGAATGGCCATGCCTCAATCCCTTCTCCTTCATTCTCCTCTTGGGATCTTGGGCACACGTGCACATGTGCCCAGTGTGAGTTTAAGCCACTGGGTCCAGGACTCGAACAGTGGTTGACTACATGGGAGTCCAGCGATGTAGCCATTACGCCAACTGCTGGTCTCAGACTGGAAACATTCTAGTTATTCAATTGAGAGTATCTTTTTTGTCATTGTTTAATTAAACTGATTTACTTAAAGGATTGTCAACTAATGAATGAAACACAAAGTTAGAGAATCTGCCCAATTTTCCATTCAGGGACAGGAGAATCTTGCCCCCCTCAGTAAAATTTATTTTAAATAGTAAAAGCCAAAAGATAAAGTTGTATTTGGATAACACCTAATAAATCTTACA